CCTTTGAGCATCTTTCTTAATGCTTGGAGTTCCCTCAAACAAGGGGCCTAGACTTTCAGGAGCAACAATAAACACATTCGCTATGCTGAAGCAAGAGTCAAAACAGGAAACATTAGAGGAAATTATATTTTGTATGAGGCTTAAAATTTCGAAAAACCTTGCAACTTACATTCCAAGTTGTTCAAATTTCTCGTCAACCTGAGGGGCATTGAAACTACGAACAAACTCTCCATATTCTGTTATGTCACGCTTCAAACGCAAGCCTCCACTGCAAAAGGCAGAGAGAATTTCGGTAGATGAAGCAACTTTCAACAGATGTACGTTACAAATAGGGGAATTTACCTAAATGTCAAACCAAATACCAAGCTCAAACTTTTACGTTTTATGTTTCTCTAACCATTGATACATGTTGGTTTTAATCCATAGTGCTTTCTGGATTATGTATATTGTCTTCTTCGAGACACCTAATTCCTTTCTTTCTTCTTCTTTTCAGGACATGACGATGTGCCTCGAGTTATAAAAACTTATTCCAAGAGACCAAAATAAATAAGTAAGAAACTTAGTAACTGTCATGAGACAGTTACACATTTAATGGGTGGTTTTTCCTGTAGAAATAGGGGCACGGCAGTGAAAAAGAAGGACACTAAGAAAATAAAGGAATTTTGGGAGAGTTTCTAGTCTCTCGAATGTCTAGAAAGGTTGTGATCTTTATGATTATATAACTAAGTTCATTATTGTCTTAGGATGTGATTTATCATATTAGTAGTGTACTCGTGATTGTTGTAATATCAGTGAATCTAGTGTGAGACACCAGTATTTGTTCCTTCAGTAAGGTCTATCAAATATGTATTAGAGCTGTAACGTTCAGAGATGGTAAGTAGAATGGAGGGACAAGTTGAACAAGAGGAGACAAATTTGACAGGGATAAGAGAATATATCAAAAAACTGGAAGAATGGTTTCAAGAAATGACAGAGACTCCTGCTAGAATCGAAGCACAAGGGAGAACTATGATGGCAGAAGCATCCCCTTCTCAAACCAGATCTGTCGGAAATCAAGAAGAGGTAAGCAATGTCAACAGGGTTGGAGAAAAAGATGGGAAGAAGTTCCAGAAATTATAACTACCAGTTTTGAAAGGAGAGGATCCTTTGGATGGATTTTAAAAGTTGAGCGATATTTTACCATGAATAAAATTCGCAGGTGTTTGTTTGGAAGGAAAAGCCTTAAATTGGTATTATTTGATGGAATCTTGAAAATAAATGCTAACTTGGGAGGACTTCAAAAGAGAGTCGTTGAACCGATTTCATCATTCTCAAAAATCAATCAATATGTTGTCTTAATTGGGTTGAAGCAGGTTAGTAAGTTATCATGTTTCGTGAAGAATTTGAAAAGGTCTCAGCATCTATGAAGGAAGCATCTGATTGAATGTTATCTGGAGTATTTTTAAATGGGCTGAAAGAGGAAATTTGAGAAAAAGTGATGTTGTTTAAGGCTCAAACCTTGAGGGAGATAACAGAGATGGCTCAAAAGATGGAGGATCAAAATTATGTTTTGCAGGAAGTACAAGGCTTTAAATTTGATCAGGCAGAGGAAGTGCAAGTAATAAAACAGTTGGGTTTAGACCCAATTATCACCGAGTTGCAAACATTCTTGAATCTCGTGACTCAAGAGCCGGTGTAGCAAGTCGTAACACTGATTCACCAGTGCATACTACCACAAAGTCGACTAGCTTCAACGCGACTGCAGTAGCAAAGTCTAAAGGACAATTCAAAAGGTTGTCTGATTCAGAATTTGCCCGAAAAAAAGAGTTAGGGTTATGTTTCAGATGTGATCAAAAATTTGGCCCTAATTATCGTTGTAAAAATAGGAAGCTTAACCTATTGATTAGCTCAGAGGCACCCAACACTGATGAAGACAAAACAGAGGAATTCTTTGAGTCTACAGGAGAAGATGTAGTTGAAGGGGAAATGAAAGGTACTATGATGGTGTTGATATGAATTCAGTTGTAGGCCTTACAGGAGGTAGAACAATGAAACTTGTGGGGAAGATTCATGGACACGATGCGATAATTTTGGTCGATAGTAGAGCTACCCATAATTTTATATCATCCATCCTCGCTCATCATCTGTAATTACCTATTAACAAGACCAAAGGATTTGAAGTAAAAATTGTTAATGGTCAGCAGGTTTGTGGGAGTGAAGTATGCAAAAAGGTAAGGATAGACGTGCAAGGAGTCCAAATCAACCAACAATATTTTCTATTTGAACTGAGGGGAATTGATGTGGTATTAGGGATGGAATGGTTAGCCACATTAGGAAAGATGAGGGTGAATTGGAAACTTTTTACCATGAAATTCAAAGATGTAGGAAGATTGGTGTCGCATTGAGAGGGTCGGTCCGGAGATGGTTCAAACAGTAGTGTCACTGAAACCCATGACTTATTTCTTAACGAAAGGAAACCAAGGATTTCTGGTTGAGATGAATCAGGTAGCAATAACAAAAGATGTAGCAGCTGTATTCATTAAGGAAGTGGTTAAATTGCATGGATTTCCTAAGTTTATTGTGTCTGATCGTGACCGGGTGTTCATAAATCACTTTTTGAGGGAACTATTCAAGCTAGCAGGCACTACCTTAAGGTATAGCTCTTCTGATCATCCAGAAACTGATGGGCAAACAGAAGTTGTGAATAGGATTTTAGAAACATATCTCCATTGTATGGCAGGAGAAAATCCTAAAGAATGGTCCCACTGGTTATCTTGGGCTGAGTATCGTTTTAACACATCCTTTAATATATCTGCAGGTATGACACCCTTTAAAGCATTATACGGAAGGGATACATCATCAATTTTTCACATGAATGACACTACTTCAGCGGTTGAATAAGCAAATGAGTTGGTGTGTACTAGAAATCTGATTTTAACCGAACTCAAAGAACATTTGTTACAAGCACAACAAAGAATGAAGAATCAAGTTGATCAACATAGTAGAGAACTGACTTTTGAGATTGGTGAAGTAGTATATCTCAAACTTCGGCCCTACAAACTACGTTCTTTGGCTAAGAAGATAAATGAAAAACTCAGTCCCCATTTTTATGGTCCTTACAAGATTCTAGAAAAGATTGGTTCCGTATCTTATCAGTTGGAGTTACCAGTTGGAACATGCATTCATTAAACGTTTCATGTTTCACAGTTGATATAATGCTTGCTTCGAACTTCTTCTGCTCAAAACCTACCTCCATTTCTTACCCAAGAATTGGAGCTTCAAGTTGAGCCTGAGGCAGTGAGACAGATCAGGAAGCTAATCAATGGAAAATTGAAAGTTCTATCCAAGTGGAAGAACCTATCAGACTTTGAGAATACTTGGGAGGAATATGCAATCATCGATCAATAATTTTCGGACTTTCACCTTGAGGACAAGGTTATTCTTATAGGGAAAGGTAATGATGTGCCTCAAGTTATAAAAACTTATTCTAGGAGACCAAAATAAACAAGTAAGAAACTTTGTAACTGTCATGAGAAAGTTACACATTTAATGGGTGATTTTTCCTTTAGAAATAGGAGCAGGGCAGTGAAAAAGAAGGATACTCAGAAAATAACGGAAAGGAATTCTGGGAGAGTTTCTAGTCTCTCGAATGTCCAGAAAGGTTGTGATCTTTATTATTATATAACTAAGTTCATTATTGTCTTAGGATGTGATTTATTATGTTAGTAGCATACTCGTGATTGTTGTAATATCAGTGAATGTGAAATAGCAGTTCTTGTTCCTTTAATTTGTATTTCAGCAGTAAGGTCTATCACATTACTGATCTGTTCATATTATAAAACATTGCCTTGCTTTATTATCTCCTCAGTTGAAGACTTTTACTTCTTGAAACTACAAGGACTTTATGCTTGTGCTATCCCTTCAGATGAAAAAATTGATGCCCCAATTATCAGAGTGTATATAACTCAAAGTACATTTGATTTTATGCTCTAGAGCTAAAATCAAGCCTTTTATGTTCTCCATACATATGCACTGCTCATATGAATCCATATTTCATGTAATCTAACACAAATAAGTCTTGTCATAACTTTCTCACGAATATGCTAACATTTAACTAAAAATAACTTTAGTTTTATGATCTAGTGCAAAAACAACATTCTTATGTTTGTTTATACTTGCAATACTATCTTTCCTGCAATTTGACCACAAAGAAAATGATTTTTCAGTTTTGGATGTGAAGGGCAGGATTAGGCTTATTAAGGTCAAAGGCTTCATTTGTGAGGAAGTGAGAGGATGTGTGATCGATTTGTTTTTCCCTTCTAACTGATCTGTTGTGTGTCACATTGCGCTATTCATAGAGGAAGAAGGCCAAGTCCTTGCTTGTTCGACAAAGTTAGGTCTTTTCTTGCTTATATGCCTACCATCATATACCACAAGTATCTTTGAATTAGACATAAATGATGTGGCAATAGCTACAATACCTGTACCAGTCATCCTTGATATATCAAGAAACTACTATAATTTCTTCTGCTGCTGCTACTACTAAATCGAATGAACTAGAGAAAGGAATTACCTAGGATTAAAAATGAACTTTTGCCAATGGTTAAGCAACCCCTTGTGCAAGCGATTTCCCTATAAGAACATTTTTAAAATGGACAAACATAGTATCAATATAAGAAATTCTGGCAAAGAAAACTAAATACAGAATCAATAAGTTGCAGATAATTTAGACACCGCTGAATAACCTGACACAACAAAAATACATAGCACTAAAATGGATGCAGAGACAAGTTCCAATTTCTTCCTACCATTTGCACAACAAATGTGTGTATGCACAAACTAACCATGTGTATATTCTTAGCAAATCAATATCATGGGTGGTTTTGTTAATTGGAGAATTTTGAGAGTTACAGGCTAGGACATGTGTAAAGGTAAATTCAGTTGATTATACAATTTCGAACAAGCTACCAAACAATTTCAAGAAACAGAACTCTTTGAAACTATAAAAATGACCAATTGGGTCAAGGATCAGTTATCGTGCGTCTAGAAACAGCATAAACCTTGGAAATTACAAGAAGATATTTTACCTAACAGATAAAAAAGAGAAGTGATAGATCTGATAGAATGCCTTTAAGAATACGAAGCGATGGGTTTCTTTGTCTCGATTGTAAATACTTTTGATAGAACTTTCTTGGTGCTATCTATAACACACTCAACCTTTCTTGGCAAAAAAGATACTTGAGAGAAGATTTCCGGCATCAAGGTTTTGGACGAAAAATAATAGTCACAGCAATAAGAACAGTAACATACCAATTCAGTCAGGAACGCTTGTTTGTTAAGCCCTTCCAGTCCAGTGAAAGCCGACTCAAGCACACGGGAAAGGTATGCAACAGCACTGGTTGTAGATATAATATTAGTATACCAGTAAAATGAAACTAAATGATTGCCAAAAAAGACGTAAATTCCAAAGATCTTAAAATATACTACGCCAGATATAAAGAGGAAAGCAATCATAAGATCAACTGAAATTTCATACTTGAATATGTTCTAGATGTTTCAAGAATACATTTTCTATAAAAAAAAGACTAACATATGTGCATCTTTTAATTAATATAGCGATTCACCATGCACAAGCACTTGTTGGCCGATGGTCAGGGATAATGCCATCATCAGGTGATCGATAATCTGTTGCCTTTTGTTCAGTTGACAGTAGCCTTTCTACCTGAAAGCAGTCAAAGGGGAACATGATGTCAAACAAAATGTTTGGTTTTAGAGGACAGATGAAAGAGTTGGAAAACATTAAGTGGCTGGTAAAAGTGACCAATGAGTTACTTTGCCTAGGGAGGACAAGTGTCCCACATATAGCACTTATCAAGCCTATACAGAAGAATAAATATTCTAAATCACAAACCTCTGCTATGACAGTTTCAATGCACTGTTGAAGCCCCTTACAAGCAACACTCTCTGCACGTGACATAGTTGTTGCCATTTCTTCACTAGAAGCAGCATGAGCACCATCCACAGGAAGTAAACGCCGCGATATGGAGTTCACAAAATACTAAAGAAAACCATGAGTTAAGTGCAATTGAGTTAAAGCTACATCTACATAAATTTAAAATTGACTCCACTGGCATCAAAACAACCCACTTGCTGCAAAATAGCCACACTGCTTCCACAACGTTGCACAGATGCCATGAAAGATTTGAAACTGCTTTCACCAGCAGCAGCTGCATTTTCTGCCTATATAAAACCAATCATACAACAAGACAGCTGGTCGCTTAATATTTAGATGTATACAAAGTACAAAACTCTAGATCAAAAGAAAAGACTAGTATAATTACGGCAGAAGCAGCTGCTGCAGCAACTCTTCGGCTAACACTAGTTCCCAGCAAGTGTTTTTCCCTCAAGGCAGCAGCCTCAGTAAGGCCTTCTCTGGCTCTTTCAAGACCTCCTATTATGTATTGACTGACCTGCAAAAGTCTAGAGTGAGAAAAACAATTGTACCATAACTACTGTTACGCCTCTTTCGAAATTAGTAGGGTCTGGTAAGATGGAACCTTAGTAACCACTCAGCTCTATTTGTCCTGTTTCATTACCCAATAATTTGTCCTAAAGGGGTTCTCAAACGACTAGTGATCCTCTAAACCATGTACTTATTTGTGCATCAAAATATAATTTCTACCCGAACTAAAAGGATTCTTGTCAAACACCAGACCTATTGTTAGTGAACCCAGGAAAAGGACAACAATGTAACTGTTCCACTAACATACATCAGACCTGTTGTTAGTAAACCCAGGATGAGGACCCAATGTAAGTGTTCCACTAACAAACACCAGACCTGTTGTTAGTGAACCCAGGATGAGGACCCAATGTAAGTGTTCCACTAACAATTTTATTCATTTTGTGGACATGTTGAGGCTTAGAGGCTAAACATTGCGTCCATTTATAATTACAGATTTCATTAACATTCTAGAGAACTTACCTTTTAATTTGGTAAGTATCCTCTGAACGCATAGCACAGCCTTAGCATTTCTCTATTCCAGTGAACCTATTTTAATTCTGTCGTGCAACTTCATCTAGATGAATTGACTGCATATAGTCATCTCACTCCTTTCTTATTGTGTTGGCTAACTTAGAGTCTATATGATTTTTGGTTACTTCTACTTTTCCTAAGACCATTACTCTTGAGTGCTTCTCCATGGTTCAAACTTTTGGTTTGACTACGCTTGTTAGGGTTTTCGGCGATTAAAACAATAACTTGTGCAAATAACATACTCCATTGAATCCCATTTTGTATATTATTGATACACTCATTCATGACTAGGGTAAAAAAGTAATGTGCAACCAAAGATTTTGGAGATTTGCTCGTCTCCTCCCTCTCTTATAACACCTGTCAAAGCTCTTTTATCCCACAATAAAACAAAATGATATTACCAAAGTTTAATGTAATTTAGCTTTCATCATCGGAGATGTTTCTATACAAATGCTAGATATTTCCACAGGCAAAACCAAACAGTGAAAATAGAACTCCTTATTCTGCATTAGAGATATTGCTTACATGAATTCTAAACATGCAAAAGACTACAGATATATATATAGAGGCACACACATAAACACATATTTTAAATATATATCACATAAGATATATATTGTACCTTCTATGAATTTTCCTACTTGATTAATGCATGCTCCCAGTGACATGATGAAAGAACTAAAAGACGGCAACAATTGAAACAAACTATAAATGTAAAAGGAGGTGATGAACTTACTTGGTCTAGAAGGAATGTGAAAATAGGTTTAATACTAGCAGCAAGTGCAGCAGGCTGTATATAAGAGGTATAATCAATTAGCTAATCCCTGTAGGTTTTTATCTACTAAAGTATAACAGTCAACAAATAGATCATCAAGTTAGGAGAATGGCCTAAAGACGTGTACCAGCGGCAGAAGACACTAAAAAAAATAACTATAACATACTTGATTACTACAGGCCACATTGTAACTTAACTTGGAAAATCTGGTATACATTATTGAACTTATATTGAATCTAGTGGCAGCCTTCAGTTTAAAACAAACAGTAATAAGTTGTCAAGGAGAAAAGATAAGGATCAGATTTAGGCATGGAGAAGAATTCCATGATGTATATTTTGGACCGTTTGGCTAGAAAGAGATCACATGTGTTTCAAGAGAAATCAGACTCCTGTTTTGCCAAAAGTTGGAAGTCTTTTTACAAATAAAAATTTTTTCTGTAGGATTACAGGTTTATGTGAAGGAATGGTTGTAAATGACATTGATACAGTACTGGATTTTGTCGATTGCCTACATTCTTAAGTGACAAATCTAGCTGTTTTGCATAAAATCAGAAGATTCTTGTTGCTGAGGTCTTCTGTATAAAATTTATATTACTTACTAAATAAAGTATGGAGAAGATTCTCACTCCCTCTGTATGTATGTCAACTATAGCTCTTCAACTATTCAACTAACCTGTCTATGCAATAAATAATTTACTACTGTGCCAAGGGGAATCTCCACATACATGATATCCAAAGTAGAGGAACTTACGCAATCACTACCAACAGTCATATGGATAAACATCTTTTCAATCTAATTTCTAATCTGACTAGCCTAAAACATCTTTTTAATAGAATAGGTCAAAAATTCTACTGGACTTGAAAACGAACATGATGTGAATGAATCTACTCCTGCACAAGCCTTGATACAATAACTAGTTCCTTTTGATTTTCCAGCCAAAGGAAAAAAACTAAGAGATGATGAAGGTACAGCTTCAGCAACATCTTGAAACATGTCATATATACCTGTAAGTAAAACAAACTGCATCTGGATATTGCTTCTTCGTTCCAACGAACAAACTCTGTTACCACAGTGACAGAAATTTCCGGGTTAGAAAGTACTATTGAAGCACCTTTTGAGCGTCCAATTGTCCCAGACGACTCAGAGCTGGATAGCTGACTTTCACTACGCAGTTCATCCATCTGCAAATTAAAACAAGAGGTCTGTTCAAAATTGTTCAACAGAAGCCACCAGAATGATATGTTACAGGTGAAACACTTTCATAAACATCTATAAGTTCAGAAAGTTGTTGGGCATCTATTGTTACAATAACATTGTGGACCTTCAATATTGTTTAACGCTCTCCAGAAACAGGTAGCCTTGTCAGCTAGTATACCAAATTTCATGCAAGCTAAGTTTGATTTGGTAAGAGCCTATGTGGAGCAAAGATATTGCAATTTACATGGCACCTACTAGGTGCTTTGGAACAGAAATATTTCAAGGTTCCCTAGAACCAGAAAATTGATAACCAATAATTTCTTTACTTCATTTAGGAGTTCTGATTGTTTTCATTGTGGAAATAGCTTCTTCCAAAACTTCCTTGTCTTACCTAAGCAATAGAGAAAAAGGAGTGCCTTAAACAGAAACTAGAATGATGAGACTGTTCAGAAGGATAAATTGTCACAAACCTTAGCTTTGTAAAGTTGTTTAAGAGAGGCTTGCTCGCACTCTATGTATATATCTTTGTGTGGTAGAAACAATGATTCAGTCAAACCTGAACCAAAATAAAATGGAGATCACAAATATAATTGACATAAACAAAGCCAGTCCAACAAATTATAAATGGAAATAGCCTATGATCAAGACGATCTAGATTGACCTCGTGGTAAAAACAAAAGTGAGTATCTTCAAGAAACTGATTCTAGTACCCAAATGAACCATAGTAGTAAACCACAGTAAGTAACCTAACAGGACTAGAACGTTTTCTATAATATTTGGAACTGAAGTTAGATGTAGAAACAATCTTAGCAAATTACAAGAAACATAACACTTCAAGATTTGATATAGACTCGCATATATTTGATGTTTCTCTTAAACAGGTAAAGGAGAAAAACGAGTCTACAATATGAATTGATCATTAATATCGGAAGCAGTACATGCTTCAACGACAGAAAAGAACAAAACTTGGGTGTCAAGACTTCTCTTTTATTAAGAACCTCACCTTCTAGCAATACCTAATACTCAAACTTATTCAAGAATCTATATTTCCCTCCCACTTTTGCTGAACACCCTGTTCTCCTTTTATCTCTTCTTTTTAATTTCCTCTCTCCGTGAGGTGCATAATATGCCCATAATAGACAACTCTTTATTTCTTTAGAACCTTGTCATTAACTGTCCTAGTTGACAGAGAAATCAGAATGAAGACTCATGAGACTTATATCATGCATTTACATGTCTCAGTAAGGTAAATCCTTAAAATACCAGCATGTTCGCCAAATTAAGCAGTCATATGCAGATCTTGGCACATTCCACCTCTGTTTTATAGCACATTTATTACATTTCAAACAGCTATATTAAGGTAATAATGAGATGGCACAAAGGTTCATTTCATTTCTACCTTCAACATCCAAGTCACCACATCCGACACTTCTCAACTCCTTATCAAACTCTTGTGTCTTCTCATATGCGACAGCCAGCAATCTGAGATACTGAACATTCAAAGGCAACAAAAGAGTCAGCCAAAGGCCATATTTTCCTCTTCTGATAGAAATGAATAATCTCTGCACATCACTTACTAATACAAGTCCGCCTTCTGCCATGGGAGGTGGGTTAACAAGAGATGGTTTAAGTAGGAGCTTCTCTAGAAGTTTTGGAACACGATCTTCCAAGACACGCTGTTCATAACCTCAATCTATTAGTTACCAGTTCCATAATTGCATTTTTTTGTGGAAACACTCACTCAGTAAGCACTTTACTAGAATGGAAAATATCAGGCAGACAAATTGTAGGAAACTCAAGGAGATAGAAATTGTTTTGGTCTAAATTAACTAGTGCACGTCCACAAATATGTTATTCTTTATATGCATATATTGTTAAAGCTCTGCGACGACAAGCCTGAACTAGCTTTCTTTTGCTGCTGCAGCACCATCATACAAAAACAAGATAGACAATAATTGCCTCAAGAACACAATAAGTAGTTATCAACCATACCTGAACTAATATCGACATTACATCTTTAGGGGAAGGGAAAACTGCTGCTATAGTGGCTGCTTCTTTTCGCACCGTGTCTGGAGGAAACATAATGTGTTAAAATTCAAAAGGCATGCATTTAGAAGAGAAATGCTGTTTTATAAACTTCAACTAAAATAACCTGCAATTTCTTTAAACATTGAAGAAAGGCCATGAGCAACATTGCTAGGGCTGGGTTGGGCACCCTCATCACCAAGGACCAATTTAGCATCTGCATTCATCACCGCAACATCAAACATGGGACGTAATCCCACGTAGTGTTGCATGGCACTGGTACCCCTGTTAAACTGCTTGGAGAACGAATATGCCAAATTATGAAGTGTTCTTTTCAATAGAAAACACCAAGAATCAGGTTCAAATTCCAGAGAAAGGATAAAAACCTTTTACGTTATCCCCTGTTTACAGGAAGTTTAATAGAGATTTAACATGAAGTACTTCTGACAGGTCTACTGAAACAGCTTAATTTACCTGTGACAAAATTTTACCATATTCACCCATTGTAGACAAATCATGCTTCTGTGTAGCCGTATCAAATCGAGCTAATAATCTGTTTTCCAAGGCTAGCAGGTCACCAAATAAGAAGACTACTTAGAATGTCCTTTAAAATGAAAAAATGAATATGACATCACAGGAAATACATAAAATAAATGTCAACCAAGAGCACAGTAGCTAGCTAAAACCATCAGAAGAAAACAAAAGCTAGGCGTCCAAACAGCTAATGTAAAAATTGAGGACTATGTTTAGTACGTCTTTAGATCTTAAAATGCAGTACTATGTGCCCATATCAAAAAATCCATTTGAGACTACAGAGAAATTACACAAGTAATGTTTACTATGTTCAATTTTTACAAGTTAAAACAGAACTAGCTACTTTTCCCCGAAAAACTTTATGAAAATTAAAACGACAAACCTGAGAATGAACTAAAGGTATTTGCAACTCTATGCCCTTTTAAGGTATAGTCTTCTAATATGATATGCCGTATTTACATCATTGTGCAAAATTTTAGGAGTCAGAGTAATATGGTCATTGAAGGAGCTACATCATAGCATTTTAGCATGCATTATTGCTCTTACTTAAACAGCAGATGTTTAATTGGCCTCTTTCCTTGTTCTAATTGTTCTTATTCAGATGCACCAAATGAACATCCGTTTATCCCTATATTAAGTTGTCCATACATTTTCCTAGATGAAAAAACAGTAAAGAGACATGAAAAAGATTAAGAGATCGATGTTACAAGTTTCAGAGATACTGTGCCTGTTCATTGGTCTGAGATGTGCTTCATGCTGGACTACACACAGCATAAGGATCTCATGGCTCATAATTGAAAATCCTGTTGGTTTAGGTCTTGGGAACTTCTATTGATGTCAAACATGTTTTTCATACCAGACCAGAACATCATTGATGTCAAATAAAGATATAAATTGAAAAGATTCCTCCCCCGTCCCAATTATATGACACTATTTCCTTTTTAGTTTAATCCCAAAAGGGACCCCTTCTATATTTAGTAACAATTTGACTTGAAACGTATACCCTTAATGAGATGAGTCACACAAATATCTATGGCTTATTCTAGACAACACGTTTCAAAAGTCTTCGTTTCATTCTTAAGCTCCGGGTCCTATCAAACAACTTCCCATAAATTGGGACGGGGGGTTAATTAGATAAAAATTATTGTTTAGTGGTTCCATCTTCAAGATAGATCTCATGGGTAATAAAAAAGTAGGTCTTATTGCTTGGTACCTGAACAGAAGAACTACATAAGCAAGCAAAGTACTCAACCTGTTTTGCACCTAGAAATTTCTTAAGAAGTTTGTTGTAGAGTCGCCAGAAGGTTCTTAATGCTTCAGATCTTTCTACCAACAAATAACCTACTTCTGCTCTACTTTTTTTTATCAACACAAGTTCAATCATATATTATGCTCCTCTAAAACTTCAGATTCTCCATTTCTCGGGGTGGTAGTTTGTGAAAAACTAGCTAGTCAAGAATAACAGAAGTTTCAAACACAGCTTTAGAATAAATCCATGAGGAGCAGTAAAACATCAGTAGTTAAAGAAATTAGTAGTTCGCTGTTGTACCATTGCAGTACTCCTGGAGGTTTGTGATAGCAACTTCCAATCCTATATGTAAAGTTGCATTTCCAACAGCAGAGGAGACAGTTGTTTTTTGTCTTCCAATATCTTCATCAGCAAATGATCCTGCAAATTACTTAAATGTGATTATATCTTGGGAAAAATCATATTGTTACACAATTGAGGATGAAAACAGATTCTCTAAGGTGAAAGATATACAATTAATCACTGAAAGGCTTCTTTTTAAATGACAAAAAAAGAAAATGTAACTGCAGCAACAAAAATTCTCTGTTTCTCCAATCCTCTACACCAAGTACAGGAACCAGGATTAGATTATAGTTTTTAATGGTATAAACAGGAGAAGCTAAATTAGTGGACGATTAAATGTCTTTGAATATCATCGTTCATCGAAGGACTTGGTGAGAAGTTAATATTTTAGTGTACTTATTGACAATTAGAACCAAAACCTTATGCAGTATCACCAATGGGAGATCAGACAGTTAATAAGAGAATAACTCAATAACCTGAAGCAACCCAGCGGTCAAGTTTCTCCGTCTGGTGTAACTCTCAAGAAATCCCACCACCCGTTCAGAAAAAGTAAAAAGATAGGAATGACCCAACCTTGTATCAAGTATTCCCATTATGATAATTCTCCACAGGAAACTAGTAAAACATTTCAAAGTTATCAGAAGAAGAAAAATGAACCTAAAATTTTAAGTTCTCTTAATTATTTTTGGTGATGACATGATAGTAGTTAGATGTTACTGAAGAATTTGAGAAGAACAGGCTTATTTTGTATGTAGGTATGCCTTTACATCCCATGAGTAGGTTTATTAATTCAATAAATACTATAACTAATTCAGGGACGTCAATCAAAGGAAATATTATATTCATATAACTACTAATGGAAAAATAGTCGCCTAAAATCATGCTAATTGATTAACAGCATCAACACCTCGAAAGAAGCCAGAGGTACTACTTAATCAGCTACTCTGAGGCTAGGTGAAACTGAAGAGCGTTAACCAACAAGGGAAAATACGAGAAGGAGAGAAAGAGAGAAATTCAAAAGTGGTAAAATGAAAATGATATGCCTTAAATCCGTAGGTAATAAATAGTATAGGTAAATAACGGGAAAATATGATAATGGAGTAAACGCTTAAAATGATTGTGTCATGACAGCATATCCTAATTTGCACCATCTTGAGATAGATAAGTTGTCAGAGTCAGAAACACAGAGCTTTCTCAGGTAATAAATAGCTAAATGAGGAAGAATATTAATCAGTGTTTTGGGAGGCGAGAAGCGGAAAAAAGCGACGTGGGCTTGCTTCACAGAAGCGTGAAGCGAAGCGCACGCTTTTTTTTAAAAAGCGACATTTAGTATAAAAATAAAAAAATACTAAATAACTAAATAGAAGTAATATAGTCTTAGATTAAAAGAAAATAGATAGTCAATAATACTCATAAGTAATAAAATATAAAGCAAAAAAATCAAAAACATAATTAAATCACAAATACTCAAACTCCTATTCTTCAATAAGATCCTCAAACTCTTCAAGTGACATAACAAAGGGTTATAATTGGTCATCATCTTCTTCATCATCAGAAGTGTCAAAAAATAAAAAAAAAGGCTGCTAGCATACACATTGATCACAAAATAAAAACGAAAAAAAGAAGAAGCAAAAGAATTGAAAAAAACAGAGGAGGCAGTCAGCAGAGATGAAGAGAAGAAGAGAAGAAGAAGAAAAAACTACAGCAGTCGCATCGTGAAGAGAAAAGAAACTCACAGAGATGAAGCAAAGGCGAAGATTGTATATTTCAGGAGAAAAGGAACTCACAGATATGAACTAATAAACATCGGTTAAAACTTACCTGCAGTCGCGGTCGAGGTTTGAAGAGAGACACAGTCTCAGTCGCGGTTGTGAAGAGAGAAGAAGCAAAAGAAGAGTCGTGAAAGAAAAATTAAGTTATATTGTATATTTCAAGTTTTTTTTAAAGAAAAGACTATTTTTTTTTATAAAAAAAACCCTAATTGTCGCTTTTTTATAAAAAGCGCGCTTTATTGTGCTTTTGCCTTAGTGTCGCTTCTCGCTTCTTTATCTGAAGCGAGCGCTTTTTTCAGATCGCATCGCCTCAAGAGAAAAAAGCGCACTGGTGTCGCCTCGCTTTGAAGCGCGCTTTTTTGCGCTTTTCACAACACTAATATTAATAATTGATAATTTTTTGAATGAAGGCATCTGATTCTTGGTGCAAGTGTAAAACGAAAATATTACACCGTTAATAATAACAATGGACAAAATATCCCCCTGATTTTTTGATGGCAAAGAAATATCAGACGGAAACTGGAAAGCAGAAGTAAAGGAAAAAAGTCAAGAGTGATAAGCAGGGTTATTACCTTTTGACCTGGTTGCAAGTTATCTAGTTTGACCTTAGAATAGTCAGCTCAACCAAAGATAATAAAACAAAATTTGGCAAAGAATTTTCACATTTACAGTTCTGAGAATATCCAAGGAATGGTAATGAGCATTACTTAATTTCTGGGCAATAGAAGCAGCTTCAGCGACACGGTTATCATCAATGAATAAAGGAGAAAGTTGTGTCAGGTCTCCTGCACTTCTATTGAACTCCATCAAGTACTGTTTCAGGGAAGTCAATTTATTCCATCAATTTTTTCATAAAGAACACAGACGCAAAAAAAAAAGATCCATGCGTGAAATGACTTTTAGATGGTTACAAGTTTACCTTTATGAGCTCTATCGTCTGACTAGCAGATTCTCTCTGAGTATCTGCACTCTGACAGGAAACAAAGGTTATTAATGTACAAACTCAGTCTAAAATAACTTGAAAAACAGATTTATCTAGAGAAATTGAATTTTTTAGAAGAAATGTCTTTCTATTGTCTGCTCATTCTTTCAATGGACGAAGCACACTTAAGTCTTGAGTACCAAACTTCAATTGAAGATCAAGATACAAATGTTACTTTCTTACTTATGTTACAAAAGAAACAATCAGATAAAACTAAACTAATTTCTTGTAATTACACTAGCAAAGACCTAAACAGTCTAAGTAATTAAAAAGAGATAGCATTTACCTGCAAGTGATCTCCTATTTTGGCAGCAGTATGACCGACACTTGATATACGTGAATCCAGACGTGCAAAACTGCCAAACAAACCATCTACACCTTTTTCCAGCTGCACATTTTCTAATACTCATAAAAGTTATGCTCAAGGCTTTCAGAAGATCAATGTGAATAAAGAAGCTCCATTTAACACCAAAGATGCTAAAAACGATTACAAGTATAACATAAGCAAAAGATGGCAAATGAAAAACCAAATGTCTATCGTGCTTTACCGAGACAAATGTATTAAACATATCAAGTGCATTTTCACATCATAGAATGTCATTTAAACCAGGTCATCATTTAATTCTTCGATTATTCAATATTCAATTCTAGTTCCAAGACCCCATGATCATCATCTCAAATAAAAAGAAAGTTTCGCATTAAACTAATGATATATCTTATTATACAAAAACTACTTACTGACCTCAGCAAGTGTCTTACGGTGCTTCAAGTCTTGAACAGAAACTTCTTTTGTGAGATTGCTTAATTTTGCATCAACCTTAATAGCAAATCAGAGACAAAGGGGTTTTAGTTAAAAACTCTCGAGAATGAACAGTAGATATGACATAACGATATACCTGTCTTTTTTGTTCCACCAATTGTGAACTAGAATTCTTAAACAGAGATAACAAGGCATCAACTTCAGGAAACAATGGGCTTGAAAGTAACTTTCCTGCATTTGACATTGATGGTGCCCTCATATGCCCATTCGATATTCCATCAATGATGCCATGACCTTCTAATGAATCTACTTGTTTTTCGAGACATGAAGGCAATACCTCAGTTACCAAATTACCAAATGTATCATCAAATGAAAAATCGCCCTGCATTAGACACACACATTCAACATGGCTATTTTAACAAATTACTACTATAATTATGTTGCATTGTAAATAGATCATCACCTTGAAATCATCTACATCAAGAGCAAGTGGAGTACGGTTGGACTGTGTTCCGTCTCTAATCTCTTTCATGACTAGTATAAATATGGATTAAGAAAAATGTCAAAACCCCATTTCCAATTTAAAAAATAACTAACCTATAATTAGCCTATAAATACATATACACTACTATGTAAAAATCATTAAAATAACTTCATTTTTTATTCTTACCTTGATGAGTATAATGTAATTCTTCTTCTTCAATAACAACAATTGCTGCAGAGTAAAACAATGTGTAGAAATGAATTGAATCTATAAAAAAGTTACGAATCTTGCGGTATTTCTAATACTATTTCAAAAAACCATTGAAAACCTCCCACGTGTTTATCTAAATTTAAGGTGTTTTGCTTATCAAGGAGCAAGTTTGGATCTCCAAATATGGGGCAAATCTTGAATTATATTTTAATAAAATAACATAATCAATATTTATATTTTTTTGGGAGACATCTATATTTATATTACTTTAAAAGGGAAGGCATGAAATTCCTTTAAAAGCGAAGGCATGAAATTCCTTTTAAAATGTTTATTAAACTTCTTGTCCTTTGATAAAATATATGGTAAGAGATTCGGGAGTATATATAGTAAGAAAATATATGGCAAGTGATACTAGAAGAATTAATAATTAAAGAAATTTTAAAATATATGGCAAGAGAAAAAGAATATGATCCGATAAATAGACGATAGTGAAATAATAATATATTATTTTGTATTCTATCATTTTTATTTTTCAATTGATCAGAAAAGATATTATTGTTCATTAGAATTTTTTATTTTGCACTATTATTTAAGAAAGTCAAGTTGGATGAAGACTTAAAATGTCAAAACCCCATTTTCAATTTTAACAATAATTAACCTATAATTTGCCTATTAATACATATACACTACTACTGTGTAAATTAAAATACCTTACTTAGTGTAATATAATTATTCTTCTTCAACAATAATTATTACAGAGTGAACGAATGTGTAGAGATAGATTAATTGAATCTACAAAAGGTTACTAGTTTTGTGGTATTTCTAATACTATTTCAAATTTGCTTATCAAGGAGAAAGTTTGGATGTCTCCAAATATGGGGCAAATCTTTAATTATATATTAATGAGAAAATAAATAAATATCTCCTTAATCTATTATTGAATTCTCGACTACATACTTATACTTTGTGGGAGTTCTATTATCTCCATGAGTTTTTTAAAAATAAAATATATTCCACTTTTAACTAGACAACCACATTTTTAATATGTAGTCAGGGGCAGCTCAACGTAATTGGGGACCTAAAGCGAAATTTTAATTCGCGGCCTAATATATAAATACACTTAATATACGTGTTTATTCAAAAAATATTTTTTACACTATTCAAATGGAAATTATTAGTACTTACTATTGTTTTCTCAGTTATTACTTTTAGGTAAGATTTTATCAACTCAACATTGAAAAAAAATCCTTTAAGTGAGGCAATTATTATATGTATTGTTAACATAATGCTATAAGTAATAAGCTGATAGATATTAAATAAAGATAAGAGTAAGAACCATAGAATTTGACTCAAGAAGTTGATGACTTGGTATACCTCATTTTAATATGCTTATATTCTAGTAATACTTGAAACTAAGATTTAAAAAGAAATAAAAAAGAATTTGTAATTAACTTTTTCCAACAATGTTCACTATTAATTTTTATTTTTAACAAAGTACAAAAGATGTTAAAGTGGATAAAATATTTATTTTTTATTAAAATATACTTTTTATCAAAAATATTTAATTTTTCTATAAAAAATTAACATTTTTTAATTAATTACAAAAACATGTATACTTTTTTTTTCCTCCTCCTCCTTATTTTTCTTTACTTTTTTTGTTTCCAATTCCCTTCTAATTTTAAATCACTCACACATGAAAAAAATCAAAGTTATTTTTATTATCATTTTTTCATCATTTCACAGCATCCTTCAGGCACCTTGACAAGCTTGACAAAATAGTTTAATAAAGACCTAATAAAATAAATGTTAACGGTAGATTAAATAGTTTAAGAAAAACCTAACAAAATAAATATTTACTAACGGTAGTGTCAATGCCTAACAATTATGTTATTTAATCCTTTTAACCAAAAAAAAATTAGTAAGCCCACGTGATAATAATTTTCAATAAAACCGAAGTAACGGAATTACCCATGTAATGCTAATTAGTAGACATACTTTTGGCTTTTCAATTTCTCTAGTTTTAATGTGCATTGCCATGTCAAAATTAGAATATAAAAGGAGAAAAGACATAAAGTCACCAATAAAGTTTGTTTCGTGTTTTCATAAATATATCTTAACTTTGCAATTGTTCTATTACCCCACTGAACAGATATTATTATACCATTTTTCGATCAGCCCCAAATTTTAAGAAGCAAATGAGTTCACACCAATCATTACATCACACGTGTTAATTTAATTTAAAATATAATTTTTTTCATTTTAAATTTTTCTTTTATCTTTTCCTTTCTCTATTTCTCTCTCTCTTATTTTTGAATTTTAATATATTTTAAATTTCATTTCATCTCCACTTCCCACTTTCAAGTGATTTATCCCTTCATTTTCTTTTTTTTTCTTCACCTCCCACCCCCCATGTCAAATTGAAACTTATTTTCACTCTTTTTCTTTTTCTTTTCTTCTTCTTCTCCGGTCAAATTATTTATAAAATTCATACTATTATTTAGAATTTATTGAATTATTGATAACAAAATTAATTATTTTTTTAAAAAATTTTTTTGAAGGTATCATCAACTACTCATTTTCATATAAATTAAAAATTATCAATAATAATTTTAAAAGAATTAATAAATTTTTCAAAACCTGAAAGAACTTAATTGAAATAGAAAAAAAACTATATGATACTTTCTGATCATCTTAAAATCTAATGAGTTTATCCAAACGTAAGAAAATATTTAGACACAATTTAAAAATTTAAGAGAGTAAAACTAATAGTAATAAAAAAAAAGGAGGTGAAGTTGTGATAAATATGGTGACATTGAAAGTAAGTAGATTCAATGATTGGAGATGACAATGAATTTTTTAAAAGAAAGAAGAAAGAAAAGAGAAAAAATAAAAAGAAAAATAAAGTTAAAATATTAAGAAAAATAAGAAAATATAAGTGACGACCCTCTTAGTTATTTTAAGAATTTTAACCATTATTTTTATATTAACCTTTTTAGCAGATTTTATAAATAACTTATAACTTATAAGAGTTAGTGACATGATTTTTCAACTTTAAGAAAGGATTATTTTGAACTTATAAGAGTTAGTGACATGATTTTCAACTTTAATAAAGGATTATTTTGTAGCTAATAATAATTAAAAAAAAAAGAAGAAAAAAAATTAGAATATTAAATTAAATAAATAAGTAAAATAATGATAATAATAATTTTTTTTAAAAAAAAGCAAAGTGCCCTGAATGTTAAAAGTGTTAGGCGGCTAGATTATTAAAAATAAGAACGAACAGAAACAAAAAAATATGCAGAAGAAGAAAACAAAAAAGGAAGGGAGAAAAAGAAAAAGGAGGAGAAAAATTGATACGTTCATCGCGTCAAGGTAATTATTCTTATCCTTTATATAAATTCCTTTAAGTAATCATGAGTAGATTTTAGGTCAAACCATGTATAATTTATGTTAATATATGAACTTGTGATTATTCATAGATGTCATTATATACTAAATTATTATTATTATTACGTATTTGGTGTGGAAAGAATTGAATTTGAGATTTAGTGTCAACTTACTAGATTAAGGACAAGTTATTGCTTCTATTGGTAATGGTTATGGGGATTATATGTAAGTGTTGTAGGACTGAATTAATAAGAATGAAAATAAGAATATATCATACAAATACATATTTTAATATGTTGGCAGATAGGAAATTAAAAACGTTGTTGTAAGGATTATACCATTATTGTTTAACTACCAAATGAGGCGTATTACATAGTCACGTAGTCAAAGAAATGACCAAGGTGACATTGTGGGTGACGGAAAATGGTTTAAGTTATATGCATTTAAATTATTATAATCAGTATGATCACATAATAGTTGCATTGAAATGCGGTTCATGTTTTATTTTTGTCATTGGTTCTTAACTAGTGGCTTCTAATTCTTAATATTATTATCTTATTCTCCTATTATAAATTAAGTTTTTCTATATTGAGATAGGTAATTAAATATTTGGAGTAATTTTTATATGAAAACTATGATGATTGTAGTTTTTGGAGCAATTATATGAGAATTGACCTATTGGTTGGAATCAAGAATTAGAAACTTTATTATAAATTTGGGTGAGTTTTAGATCTAAGTTAGACATGTAGCAATATGAATGTTGTTAGTTTCGAAATTTTATTGCGGTCATTTATTTGAATAGATTGCTTTAAGTTGGAAATTCAACGAAAAGGGAAGGCTCAAGTCACGGAGTGAATTCTTAATTGATTGAGGCAAGTGGATTTCTAAACTCTTGTTAAGTATATGGAATGTGTGTATTTCGTTGTTGTAACGACCTGTTTAGTCGTTTCGAGCAGTAGAATCATTTGTGATAAAAACTGACTGGGTCAACGGATCACGTGACGGACCGTCATGGACTCTGTCGTCCCGTACTTGAGAAATTTCTCCTGTGTCTCCATTCATTACCCTCAACGACAGGTAGGACGAACCGCCATAAGCACAACGGTCCGTCGAGGATCTCTGTTCCAAAACACTTAAACTCGAAAATGTGGGTGCTGGGATCAACTCCCTGAACTTCACGACGGAACTGCAGCACGGACCGTCGTAGATACGACGGACCGTCACAAAACTCTTTACTGAATTGACTCTCTGAACTTTGTGACGGACCTGGAGGACGGACCGTCGCAGGTACGACGGGCCATCACGAGCTGCGTAACCCCGACTAGGTCGGATTTCTGCTAAAGTTTTAAAGGGGAGTTTTGGACTATTCATGATTATAATTATGAAATTAGTGGGGTAAGTTTAATAACTTATTGACTTGGGGGTTAAAGGAGATATCCTTGAAATAAATA